GACAAGCGACCTGAGCAGCATGAAGATGTTGGTGGTGCTGTCCAGACAAACACAAACCACTAGAGCACTGTAAGCATCTTTGATGCTCTTTGTTCAATCCTTCCATTCATGTCTGCTTTTGCAGTATCCAAGTATCAGATCTCTCCAAAATAGGCAGACTCTGTCACTCAAGAGACGCAGAATGTCTCTGACAACAGGGGATGGGGATCATTAACGTAGGAAAGTCGATCTGAGCCAGGTCTTGCGATCTCAGCTGGTCGCTGATGCCTTATTGGCACTGCTTAGTGGGTGTGAACCCTAAAAGCAAAATCCATAGACAAATATAATTTTTTCATTACCTGCGTCAGTCAAAGAGGGCCAGATTAAAAAGGCTGGGGTCCAACTACAATAATAAACAAAATAAACAGAGAAAAATAATATTGCACCAATAAGACATACTACGCAGAACACCTGCTGTATTCGATCTCGTTTAGCAACACTAAACAACATCAATGGCTGAAGTAAGGTTAAATGCCTCTTACGGAAAGCAGTGAGGGTTTGGTTTCTGTAAAACCCTGAAGGCAAGAACCTGGAGGCAGAAAGATACAAATTAACTTTCACTGTCTAAAATTAGGACAGACACTGTATGAGCACACAGAGTCTGACTGCAACACCTTAATCTGTTCAAGGGTGCCGCAGCAATGCATCATGCAAGCGTCACACAGCCATATTGGTGCCATAAGGCACCACTTAGGATCTGCCGTCCTGGTCTTCTTTGCCTTCATCTGGAGATAACTGATCCGGAATCTGGACGCTGAAACTGCAAAGCCGGTGATGTCGGCAGGGTACCTCCCAGCAGAGGTACTGAACTAAAAAAAAATGGCTACAGTGACAAAGTAGTTCAGACGCGAGACAATAAAAGTCTGGTCACGTTGTTTAAAACTAATGAGAATGAGACCGGCAACCTGTCAGCACAGAGCGTCAATAAGTTCTGATATGAAACTGAATGTGTCAACTTGACGCGCTTCATATAACCAAATGCTCAATTTTGCCTCTGATCAGCTCTAAAGGGGAGGACTGGGAAATGAAAAGAATTCAGGCCTGGGATTGAAACTTGATCCAGACTTTAATGTCAATGTGAAAATGTAGGAAAGGAAAGGGCAGAGAGAAAATGTCCCCAATCTGTGCTAAAAGGAATAGCTAGAAACCAAGAAAAAAAACACATACAATGCTAATTTTCAGCAGAATCGGCTGTTCATTTCACCAAATCACCAAAATTATTCACACAATGTTTTTATTTTCTTTTAATCATACAAATAACACATGCTGCAGTTATGCAGAATGATAAATACAAAAATCAATAGCCCCAACAAAATATTTAAATTTAATTAAAAGGAAATAAATATTCCAGTGAATTGAATTTAACCATCTGTTAAAATGAGCCCACTGGAAACAAATACATCTATTTTTGACTATTTTAATTTAGTTAATTTAGCAAATTCAAAGAAGTGCTCTGTTTTGACGTGTGGCTTATTGTCTGCGTTTATGAATACTGTTTTGCCGCGGATGCATTGATTTGACACAGTACTGAAATAAAGTTGAACACTAAGTGAAATGCTAACCGGTAAGTAGCACCGTGGTCTCACACCCTTCCAAGACCATGGGCTTGGTTTCAGACCCCAGCTCTGCATCTGGAGACCCCTCATGTTTCCCCTGAATCTCTGAAAGTTTCTACCTGGTTTTCTTCAGGTTTCCAAACATGCGATTTCTGAGTCACCCTTCCCAGAATGGATTTGTATCCCATTCATGGTGTCCCCAGCGACTCCTGGTATGGGATTGAGGCCCCAGAACCTTATACTGAATAATCAGTAATGGAGGAACCCGACGATGCACTAGACTAGCCACCATCATCCGGAAAACGATGAAGGATGTGTACGGAGACCTCGGCATTTACAGAGTTATAAGGCATGAATGTTAAGGGCCCAGCAACCATCCTCCGAGACGCTCTTTGTGTGACGGACGTCTTGCCCGGGGCTGCACAGGAACCATAAATTCTTCACGGAACCGCAAGGGCAGAAGATTTAGGCCAAGAAACATTCAGGGAGAACAGAAATGCACTTGTGTACGGAGGTCTCCAAAGTGCAGATGTCTGTAGAATCTCTGGGTCTATTCAACCCCTTCATAACCGGAGCCAATGGCCTTAAGACTATAAAGCGATTAGTCCAGCTATTCCATAGCGATTCCACATGCAGGGAGGGTCACGGGGAACAGGGGGTTTAAGCTGCAGGAGCAACCTGGACTGCATGGAGGAAACCCACACAACATTAGGGATGGAGGGAGGGAGGAACAAAGGGAGAGAGAGTGAAAGAAAGAACAAAAGAAAGAATGAATGAACAAAAGAAACAGCAAAGAAGGAATGACAGAAAAGAAAGAATGAAAGAAGAAAAAAAAGAGAATAAAAAAAAGAGAGAGAGGAGGCAGGATTGAAACCCCGCATCCCGGAGGTGTGACACTGCTACCCACTGAAAGGCAGGAACACACCCTCAGACCCTCTGCTGCACATCCTGGGCCGTGAAGCGGCAGAGCAGCATCGACGGCCGCCCACAGACGGTGCGCCGCGCGCCGCAGTCGATATATAGAGCGACAGATTAATCTCGGGCTGACACTGAGAAGAGAGGCGCCCCCACCAATCTCGAGGTGACAGCAGCCAAAGCCAGCCATTATCAGCAACACCTACGACAAAACCTGCGCTTGATCTCGCTCCACTGCAGCAGTGACTCAATTACAGAGAGGGGTGCCGTCGCCTCCCCCCTTTACTCGATATAATTAGCTAGAGAGAAACTTCTTACCCTGAAACCCAAATGCAATTGGAAGGACTTCTGCCTTTTAACACTGGCCAGACCAGTGCCAGTATTAGAAATATAAAAGACTACAAAGGACAAATGTTATGTTAAAAAACCCACAACACACACAAAAACTTCCCTGTCCCTGGTACTGACGCCACACCCAAACTACACATTTTATTCTGTTGATGCGATGTGATTTCATTATTCCTTTTGAATCCATAACAAATAAACCGTAATATCTTTGAAAAATATCAGATAGTTGCCATTCACTTCATACACACAGAAGCATTTCTGAAATTTGTAACAAGTGTCGGAAATGTGAGGTATCAAAGCACATGTTCTCAGTGTGTGGAAGTAAAGCTAGATAAAACTCATTATTCATGGCATATTTTATACGGGCAAGCCTACCCTGCACTTTGAGAAAATAACACAAAAAACACACATCCAGAGGTGGAAAGGTCAGGTCCAGAAAGTAAAAATCCAGACCAAGGTTTTGTTTCAACCAATCAGACACGTACTATTTCTACCTCTGCACCCATGACATCAGGCTCCCCTTCTAGGTACAGTATTGCACTTTAGCTTTTATTATCCATAAATAATCGAGAGTCCGGTGCTCAGCAGTGTGGTTCCATGGCTGCCCATGGAGCAGATGCCCCAGGAGCAGTACAGCAGACAGCAGACGTCGTGTCACAGCAGCTATAATGCAGGCTGTCAGTGTGATTGGTCACTTTAGGCTACGGCTGCTGGTTGCTCTGTTACCAAGACAGAGACACCACTGAATCATGTCAGGGCTAAAAGTGGCCACCTTCCCTGCAATATCCCCCCTTACCACCACCAAAGAAGTTGACGCAGAGAGATTGTGACAGTTTGTACAATCTAGAAGCTCAGATCATTGATTGTAATGGGGCAGGAGGGGGAGGGAGAATTTCGGGATTACACCAGCGGAGCGTGTACGGCGATGGAAGATCAATTTGTGTCACTTCTGCAATGCGGTGACAACTCGTCCCTCCCAGCCACCATCTGCTCCTTCCTTGTGCCAATTTGTCACGGCACATTTAAGCGAGGAGAACCCCCCCGTTACATTGTGGAAGAATTCTTTAGGACAAAAGGGAGGCCATTTGCATTTGTTGGCTTGGAGATAAGGTTAGGGAACTCGCGTTTGTCGGAGCGAAAATCAGTCCAGGGAGGAAGCCTTGCTATTGGCTAGCGGCCATCAGCGAGATGGCCAATCGCAATTCTGCAGACTGGAAGGAATCACACGTGGCCAATGACTTGGTGAATGCTGAGGAACTGGAGCTTGTTCGTTTGCTTTTGTTTAAACCACGGCTCAGAGTGGCAGAAACTACACAAATGACACCACTGTAAAATAAAAGGGAGTTTCGAAACAAGCTCCATCTTTTGGGTCTGCTGGGTGAGTGATGACGCAGCCCGATGCAGGGAGGGAGCCGGCAGTTCTAAATCAGACTGACGAATCCCTTTCCTTGACTTCACACGTTGCTGGGATGACAGTTGTCCATTCGCAGGGACATCCTTCTCCACTTTGCACCCACTGCAGGGGTTATGGCAGAAGACAAGGCCCCTGAATAAAGTCCCATATATATCCTATGGAGGTACCCCAATCATTCTGGCCCTTCCCCTCGATCAGCAGCACGGTCTGGCCAGTCTGCCCCTAAAAACACGTCCTCTCACTGAAACCGTTTCCAGCACTAAAGGCAACTGACCACTGCAGCTCAAGGTTTAGAGAAGATGCGAGATCACGTCCCAAATCGAAGGGAGATGAAATTCGGACTATAAATCAGTCACTGGGCTCCCTTTACTGAAAATACGGTGGTTTCAGTTGACCATTAGGCTTCTGAAATGTGCACATTATAGGTAAAAACACATATTTGTTTTGTGTTTTGCAGCTGGCCAGCAGTTTTCCTGACACATGAAGCAGAAAGCCTTCATTGCAGACATCTAGCATAATGTTCTTATTCTCAATTTCGTGCCTTTAGAATAAATGCAATGAAAGAGCGTTGTTCCGGAATCGGATACATTTGTGGAACTGACCAATCGAGCAGACTGGCACAGCAACATTAAGGCCAACGTGCAGTCAACGGTGCGACTTCTGCCCATTTATGGACCTGTTTATTTCAAATAACACTTTAGTAAGAAGAGAGTTCAGGCTGCACTCACTGTCCCACGCGGCTGGAATGGTAGGCAGCGGTGTCCAATCAGCGGCCTTTCTATTTTTCCCCAGGAGTCTCAGCAGGTCGGGGTGCTGTGGAGAGAAGAAATGAGGGTTTCTGTCAAATTTTGTAAACCATGTTTCTCATTGTTGACCAGGCCTCCCGTGGAGTTATTTTGATTGAGACCATCTGATTAAGTTTAAGGATGTAACAGTAGTTCTACATGACTATCTTCTCAAAACAGAGTCCTATTTAAAAACAAGCATCACTACAGAAGCGAAATGATTGACCTCTGGCTATTTTAACAAGGGCGACTTCATTTCGGCCCATTAGTTGGCTGAAATGACTAATGCCATCTGTTTGATCCATCCAGCACCACAGGTATCCATCTCGGGTCTGGCCTGAATCCCCCAAGGACTCGGCAAAGGGCGTTCCGAGCGTAGGCACAGGTGGCCCGGATGACTCTGGAGAGAGAGTCTCAACGAGTCTACCTCACGCCAACACGCTATCCAGTCACTACAAGCAGCATTTGGCTTGCAGTGTCATGATGTTAAGTAATGACCCAATGAAGCGACATGACGTGCAGGCAAGGGCCAAACAGGCCTCCAGCATGGAGGCTTACTGAGAACGACTCCCTCGCTTTCAAGGGGGCAACGGTATTGTATGTGCAGCCAATCGGAGCAACATGCACACTTCCGGTTAAGTGAATCCAGCACAAAAGTAGCCATTGTTAAACGGAGGCTGCGGCAACAGGCTAAAGACCTGACCTGTGACCGAGTGGCTTCATGGAAGTGGGATCAGCTGATAAAGTTTACGGCAAACAACACGGTCAATGTCCCCCAATGGAAAGACAACAGCAGCACAAATAGGAGAAATTTCAAACAGTTTAAAACACTTATTATGAAGACACTGACAATGACTATAATAAAACTTCTGACTGAGTACTTTTAGGAGTGAATGCATTAAAAACACTTAAAATCTGTTGATTGGAATGAGAGAGAAAAGCATGTTAAACCTTTTACACATTTAGCAATGCAATCTATTTGGAAAATTCCATCAGAATGTAAAATGGAAGGTTACGACACAGCCAGAGAGATTACTGATGCAACGGAGTGGATCTGCAGGCCACTCACAGATTTAAGTTGATTCAGATCAACTTTTATTGTAGGTATGAGCAAAGCCAGCTAGAGAATCTGCAGGAAAGTCTCTCTTCATGCCAGATTTATCTCCGCTGGAGCGACTGACTCCATGGTAGCGGAAACTGCAGCCCTGCACAGAATCCTGACTCAACGTGATGCTAAACAGCATTTTAGCCATGCCTCATTGACCACAGCGCTTTCCACAGCGACCCACCTCCCCTCTCGCCTCTCTGCATCCATTCTGCCCAATGCCAAAACCCACGGCTCCTGCTCCATGCCCCTTGCCCCCCCCCCCCCCCCCCCAACCCGGCTGGCAATTTATTTAAAAGCCCCGCCAGGCTGCGCATGAGCTGCGCGACTGCAGTGATGGATGGCCCTTAGGAGCCACTGCCCTGCCGCTCTGGGACCTCTCAAATGGAAGTATTAATAATGCAGGCCTGCTGTCATATTCTCTATTAGCGCGGAGAGCCTGGCCTCCGGTCCTGATGGATTACTAATTGGATTAATTGCACTTCGTTGGGGGGGAAGGGGGGGGACAAAAATTCTAACGAGCCAAAATCCTCGGTGTAGAGGCTGCGGGGGATTCCGGCTGCCGGCTGGGATGCTGCACTGTGCACCTCAAAGTCTCAGTATCCCAGCATCAGTCGCTCACAGGCCCCCAGACGGAGCAGGATGTGCCAGTGACTGCTGCTGCTCTAACCATTAAGCCCCAGCTGTGAGTAAGATGGGTAAGACACCGATAGCAATCCAGCAACTCTTTAGACTCAGAGGTGTGCATTTTGAGAAAACAAACTGCTTAAGTAGATGGCATCATCCTTTCATCCTTATTACTTAGATCACTAACTTAAAAATCCCAAAAGAAAACAGACAGGGCAGAATTACCCATTGCGGTAATATTACACCCCTCAGCTCAAACAATTACTTTTTAAGTATCTTGTTAGCAATCGCCTTCTGGCAACAGAATTTGATAAGACAGGGGGATCTAAAGTGTATTGTATTATTGCTTTTATTAAGCTGAATTAAGGACTCTGCAATAAAACTTGTCACCATGGATAATTCGCCAAGAAAGAAACGGAGAATTATAAAACCTTTTCAAATAAGGCAAATTAAACCTTTCACCCCTAAAGTTTGAGACGGTATTCGTCTGTTTATAGAAACGGTGTGCGTACGTGAGAGAGGGGGCACGTGTGTTGATGTATCGACCCCACTGGCTGCCGTTTACCAGTCACCCCTGGTTACGCTTTGAGGTGCGAGTCAGTGGCCAGCAGCCCGACTGGCCAACGGAAGCACTCTGTGCCAGGTGCCATCACACTCATTACTACACGCTGGGAGGAAACACCTCTCACTCCTCGCCGGGGGCTTTCTGGATCCAACACTCACCGAGATCCACGTCCTGTCGGGCCAGTTTGTCCGTCCCCCTCCCCCCTAAAGAGGCCATGGCGTGTGACAAAGACATCGTTCTGACCTTTCACCTCTGGCTTGCTACTGAAAACCATAGCAAAATGCTTGTTTGACTTTCGACACAAGGGGGACGACGGTCTACTGGAGCATGAGGGTAAAGAAAAAAGTTGATGGTTATGTTATTGTGTCGGACGTTAAACATTAAACATTACTGTAGCACAAACATCTTTGCTCACTAGCTGTGTCCCATAACGATCATGACCACAGTCATTAAACCCTAAGTAATATCCCTAGCTATCTATGTGCAGTACATCTGAAATACAAACCATAAAAAACTGTTGTTTTAGCTCCATTTATTATAATTATAGTTAGCAAAAAAAAATCTTTTGTTGTTGCAATCAATCTATGCAAATAAGCTGAATAACACACAACCTTACAGGCAGACGTCGACAACCTGTAATGCCCTGAGGGACCGGTGCCCTGAGAACCACGGAACAGGAAAGTTTTAATTCAGTCAGCCTGCTAAGGAAATAGGATTTTCAGAGTCACAAATCACAAACGGAAGCTCATTACCCCAAACACAGCCATCGCGCCTTATCTGTCTCTCAGTCAATTACAATGAAACCCTCTTTAATGGGATTTGGGGAACGGAGTGAGAGAGAGATTTATAGAGAGGTCGTTTTTCTTTCCTTGCTTCTTCCACCTAAAATATGAGTCATAAAGATACAATTTGGTATCAGAATGTTGAAAAGATGAAGCTTCATAAACAATATTTTCCATTTAATTGTGACTTCCTGGTCTCTATTACGATGTGTGGCGTTTGCGGCAGTTCGTGCCGCACCTGGACAGCTGGATGAAAGATTTTGCCATAAAATGGAAAGACCCCAAATGCAAAACTGAACTGCTTATTATTCGAAAAAGGAACCTGCCCTTCCTGATTGTGCCTAACAAAATGTACCTGGTTGTTAAAGGCAGCTGGAGTCATGTTCCCCATGTGGGTGTGAGAGAGAGTCAGAGCCTTCGATTTGTGAACCAACTCATTTTCTTGAGTGTAAACGATGGCTCCGGACCAATAACAGGCTGAAGCACCTAGACAGATGTGAAGCGGGGAGGTTCAGTTACTGGCCAAGGGAAACCATCCATTTTATCATGAAATTACAGTGGCAAGAGCGATGTGGACACCGTCCGGTGTATTTGTAGCCTAGCGGCCTGCGGCTCCCTGCTCCGATCTGATGGCCCCCTCATTTTCCCGTCGATGAGCAGGTCAGCCAAAGGCTTGTCTGCTCGTCAAGCCGCTTGTTTGCCTGCTCTGCCGGATGGGAAGCTTCTGGCCTTGCTCTCCCAAGCTGATTAATTACACCAGAACACATCGCCTTCTCGCAGACAGGTAGCGCGAGTCTGATTTGTTAGCCTTCATACATGCTAACATCTATCCCTCGACACGCAAGGCCCCTGCAGGCAGATTTGCCTCATACACCCTGCTCTCACATTTCCACACACTGTTTATACAGGTCAAACTGTTCCATCTCTCTGGCTTTTTCTTCCTCAGGTTTTACCCGATATTTTTGCTCTGTTTAACATGCACCTTGTATTTCTAGCATAAATGGCTAATTCGCTAGTCACTTACAGGCTTGTAAAACATTGGCTCAGACAAGTTGAACTCTTGCCCCTGCAATCCGTGGCAGCCGCCCCCCTCGCTGACCCCAGGGCCCCCCCGCAATATTGTGCCACGGAAAATTGTCTATTGCCAGATAGCCCAGTGACGCCCCATCACTTGCTCCAGTCGGCTGACAACCGGCCTCATTCCACTGTCGTTTCGGCGACCCTTTGCCCGTCTCCGTGCCAACCAGCACCGCTGGCCTGGGTGGAAACGAGGACAGTCGTGCCTCCTGTGAAGCTGCGAGATCTGCCCGCCAGTCAGGACAAGTGTCATCTGTGCTGGCAGTTTCACTTAAAATAGCTCTTTCTCTCTCTCTCTCTCTCTCTCTCTCTCTCTCTCTCTCTCACACACACAGATTTGTAATTATATCTTTATGGGGACACTCCATTCATTTCTATGGGGAAAACTCTAATCCCAACTGGATGACCTTAAGCCCTACCCAGCCATAAGTAACCATAAGTAACAAAACAAAATACAAATCTTTCGGCAATTTTAGTTTTTTACATTCACAGATTTTTATTAAATGGTCCCCTTGTCATCAAAATAACAGGTTTTTTTTTATGTAATGTATAAATGGACCACACACACGCAGGCACACAATATGCACATCCATTACTAAAACGTACGCCATCTGTGATAGCTTTTAAAAATATCAAATAGTAAAAGTAGCAATAAAGACTGAAACTGCGTGCAGAGTGACACCAAACGGTGCCAGCAGTGCTGAAGTCGTTAGCGGGCCGTCACTGGTGAGCACAGGAGTTACTGTCGGCTCAGAGGACAGAGAGGAAGTGAGACTCCTAATCAGAGTAAGACCCACATAATACTATCACAATGCAAGGATAAGTTCCTCTTGAGCAATACAGGACCTACAACAGAAGGACCAGATACACAA